GCTTCTGTAAATGGTCCTTTAGTAAGCATTCCCCAGCTCCTCAGCCAAGTGTGCCATCTGTTTCTTGGTGGGACTGCTGCTTCAAATGCTGTCCAATGCAGTATTTTTATAAGAGCAGAAGACTGGAAGCAAGCTAACTGTGCCTTGGTTCTGTTTGTTTGTTTGAGAGTCTTGCTCTGTCACCCAGGCTGGAGTGCAATGTGATCTTGGCTCACTGTAACCTCTGCCTCTCAGGTTCAAGCCATTCTCGTGCCAGCTTCCTAGGTAGCTGGCATTACAGGCATGTGCTGTCACACTCGGAGTTTTTTTGTTTGGTTCTTGTTTTTATATTAGAGACGGGATTTCACCATGTTGGCCAGGCTGGTCTCAAACTCCTGGCCTCAAGCAATCCATCCGGTCAACCTCCCAAAGTGCTGGGATTACAGGCATGAAGCATGGCACCTGGCCTCAACTGTGCCTTATTCTAAGATGATTAAACGGGCTGGGTGCAGTGGTTCATGCCTGTAATCCCAGCACTCTGGGAGGCCAAAGCAGGTACATCACTTGAGATCAAGAATTTGAGACCAGCCTGGCCAACATGGCAAAACCTCATCTCTTTTTCTTTTGTTTTCTTTTTTTTTTTTTTTTTTCAGCACATACCACTACTGTTCCAGCAGCGAAACCCCATCTCCACTAAAAATACAAAAATTAGCTGGGCATGGTGGCGGGTCCCTGTGATCTCAGCTACTCAGGAAACTGAGGGAGGAGAATCACTTGAAATCAGGAGGCAGAATTTGCAGTGAGCCAAGATCGCGCCACTACACTCCAGCCTGGATGACAGACTGAGACTCCATTTCAAAAAATAAAAATAAAATAAATAAGTAAAATGATTAAATAAATTATGGTACATCTGCTGAACAGTATTTCACACAATCATTTTAAAAAATACAGCAGTCTGTATTCATCTACATGGAAAGGTGCCCATTCGTTAGTGGAAAAAGAAAAAAGCAAGATTCAGAATAGCCTGCATAGGATGAACCCATTCATTTACAAAAAAATGTAAATCATACATTTGTTAAGGCTTGGAATGCGAGTGACGACAATGCTGCTCAAAATAAACCTCACCAAAAACAATGTGGGGAGTGATTTTCCAACTTAATCTCTCTGTATCACTTGGTTCTGCTTCTTCTGAGGTGATTTCACTTTAGGCAGGCTATCTTCAAGTGGTGGCAGAGTGCACACCAGTTTGGCTTATAACATCCTGACATCCTGTTAGCTGACGACCTCATTCTCAAGAAAAATCCTGGGCTGAGCCGGGCACAGTGGCTCATGCCTGTAATCTCAGCACTTTGGGAAGCTGAGGCAGGAGGATCACTTGAGGTCAGGAGTTCAAAGCCAGCCTGGGCAAGGTGAAACCCCGTCTCTACTAAAAATACAAAAATTAGCCAAGCGTAGTGGTGGGTGCCTGTAATCCCAGCTACTCAGGAGGCTAAGGCAGAGAATCACTTGAACCCAGGAGGCAGAGGTTGTGGTGAGCCAAGATTGCACCACTGAACTCCAGCCTGGGAGACAAAGTGAGACTCCATTAAAAAAAAAAAAAAAAAAAAGTCCTGGGCTGAGGCCAATCATGATATGTGATAAACCACTGACGTTCACAGACTGTGAGTAGTGGAGAAAGGCTCCCCAAAAGAAAAAGGGTGTCCAGAGGGAATATTTCATAACAGACATTTGTTATCTTTTTTGACGGCCCAGCATCTGAATCCCCTTCCTACATTTGGGAGTCCCCTACCTTCTGGGACAGAAACTACCTCCCACTATTATAGATGCCAAAAATGCCAGAAACTCACTTTCCCAACCTCCCTTATTGTCAAGCAGCACACATGACCCAGGCTCGGCCAATCAGGCACTCCTGCCTCAGCCTCTGAATCTGAAGCCAGTAATACCAAAAAGGGCCGGAACCAACCCCGTCTTGCTACAGCGTGTATCTACTGCATGATATTTGGGTCATTGTTCCTGGCTGTGGGGCCTCCAGAACTGGTTCTCAGGCTCTCATGGGATGTGTGAGCTACAGAAGAACCTTGTACTAAATCCTGCAGCTTTTCCAGCAACTACAACAGTGTCTGGACATAGCAGGCACTCAATACATATTCGTTGAGAATGGAAGGAGAGTTGGACTCGATGTCAGAAGACCTGAGTCCTACTCACAGCTCTCCTGCAGAATAGTTGTGGAGACTTTGGCAAGACACAACCTCTTTGTGCCTTAGTTGCCTCCTCTGTAACCTGGGGATGATCACCTGGGCCATCCCCCCTGGCTGGCAGGCCTGCCATGAAGATCAGACAGTGGGTCTCCAACTTTAGCATGCATCAGAATCACCCAGAGGGCTTGTTAAAATACAGCTGACTGAATCCACACCCAGAATTTCTGATTCAGTAGATCTGGGGTAGGGCCAGAAAAATCTGCATTTGTAACAGAGTCACTGCTGGTGCTGGTGCTGCTACAGTGTAGGACACACTTCAAGGACCGCTGATAAAGAGAGAGAAGGCATTTCGTTTTCTTTTGGGCATTGTAAATGAGACTGTGTTCTTAATTTCGTTCTTAGCTAGAATGTCATTGGCGAATCAAAATGCTACTGCTTTTTATACATTGATTTGCTGTCCTGAAACGTCACTGAATTTGTTTATCATTTCCAGGAGCCTGTTGGCAAAGGCTCTAGGGTTTTCTGTGTATAGATTCATACTATAGGTGAAGAGAGAGAGAGTTCGACTTTTTCTTTTCCTATTTGAATGCCTTTTATTTCTTTCTCTTACCTGGTTGTCTGGCTAGGACTTCCAGTACTATGTTGAATGCGAGTGCTGAGAATCTTCGTCCGGTTCTCAAGGGGAATGGTTCCAGCTTTTGCCCGTGTAATGTGATGCTGGCTGTGTCATAGATGGCTGCTATTATTTTGAGGTATGTTTCTTCAATGCCTAATCTGTTTTGAGGGTTTTCATTATAAAGGAATGCTGGATTTTATTGAAGGCCTTTTCTGAGTTTATTGAGATGATCATATAGTTTTTATTTTTGATTTTGTTTACATGGTGAATCACATTAATTGATTTGCATATGTTGAGCCAATCTTGCATCCCGGAAATAAAGCCTACTAGATCATGGTGAATTAACATTTGGATGTGCTGCTGGATTCTGTTTGTAATACTTCACTGAAGATTTTTGCAGCTACGCTTATTAGTAATATTGGCCTGAAGTTTTCTTTGTTCATTGTGTCTATGCAAAGGACATGAACACACACTTCTCAAAAGAAGACATAGAGGCAGGCCAACAAACATATGAAAAAATGCTCAACATCATTAATCATCAGAGAAATGCAAATCAAAACCACAAGGAGATATCATCTACACTGGTCAGAATGTCAATTATTACAAAGTCAAAAAACAATAGATGCTGGTAAGGCTGTGGAGAAAAGGGAATACTCATACACTGTTGGTGGGAATGCAAACTAGTTCAGCCACTGTGGAAAGCAGTCTGGAGATTTCTCAAAGAACATGAAATATAACTACTATTTGACCCAGCAATCCTACTACCAGGTATATACCAAAAGAGAAATAATTCATTCTATCAAAAAAGACACCTCTATGTTCATTGCAGTGCTGTTTACAATAGCACGGATATGGACTCAATCTAAGTGCCCATCAACAGTAGACTGGACAAAGAAAATGTGGTACAGAGCCAGACATGATGGCTTACACCTGTAAGCCCAGCACTTTGGGAGGCTGCAGTGGGCAGGTAATGAGCTCAGGAGCTCGAGACCAGCTGGGCAACATGGTGAAACCGTGTCTCAACCCAAAACACAAAAAAATTAGCCGGGTATGGTGGCAAGCACCTATAGTCCCAGCTACTCAGGAGGCTGTGGTGGGAGGATTGCTTGAGCCTGGGAGGCAGAGGCTGCAGTGGGCAGAGATTGCACCATTGCACTCCAGCTTGGGTGACAGAGCAAGACCCTGTCAAAAAAAGAAGGAAGGAAGAAGGAAGGAAGGAAGGGAGGGAGGGAAATAGGGGTGGGAGGGAAGGGAAGGAAGGAAAGAAATGTGGTGCATATATACGATGGAAAACTATGGAATACTATGCAGCCATGAGAAAGAATGAAATCATGTCCTTTGCAGCAGCTTGGATGCAGCTGGAGGTCATTATGCTAAGCGACCTAACAAGAACAGAAAACCAAATACTGCATGTTCTCACTTATAAGTGGGAGCTAAACATTGAGTACACATGGACACAAAGATGGGAACAATAAACGCTGGGGATCACTAGACGAGGGAGGGATGGAGGGGACTGCGGGCTGAAAACCCACTTGGGGGGTATTATGCTTACTGCCTGGAAGATGGGATCGCTGGGACCCCAAGCCTCAGCGTCACGCAATTTACCCGTGTAACAAACCTGCACGTGTACCCTTTAATTTATAATAAAAGTTGAAATAAAAGAGAGAGAGAAGGGACAGGAGGCGCTAGTGGCCCCAGCAGCCCGGCCCAGACGAAGGAGTGGCATTAAGGGCACCGCAGGACACTGTGAGGAAACAACTCGTTCTTTCCTTAATTCAACCGCTTCCTGCTCAAGGAGCTGAGGTTCAGTGCCAGGGGCTGCGGAGGGGTCAGCGGAGTCCGCTGTTCAAGTCAAGGCCCATGCAGCTCAGACTCGGGCGCAGGGCCCTGGCCGCAGCGTGCAGAGGGGCTGGGGCCGCCGCTCCTACCTTTGCCCTGGCAGGAAGACTTTGGAGCCCCGGGACAGTGAGGCGAGCGGACGCCGAAGAAGCAGAAGGGGACACGCGGGCCTGGGGCGGGCGCTCCTCTGAGCTTCCCTGGACCCCCGAACGCTGGCGCAGGAGGTGCGCGGCCCCGGCTTTGACGCACCCGGCACACAGTAGGCGCGCGGCCCCGGCTCCCGCGCGGGCCCGGCACACAGTAGGCGCCCGGCGCGCGGGGTGGCCGGAAGGGGGCGCCGGCGGGCAGTATCCGGGGGCGGAGCCGGCGCGGCGGGCAGGGCGGACGGGCGCGGGCCGCGCGTGGCGGCGGCGATGGGCGAAGGCGGGCTGCCCCCGGCCTTTCAGCTGCTGCTGCGCGCGTGTGACCAGGGCGACACGGAGACCGCGCGGCGGCTGCTGGAACCGGGGGCGGCGGAGCCAGCCGAGCGCGGCGCGGAGCCGGAGGCGGGGGCGGAGCCAGCGGGGGCCGAGGCGGCCGGGTCCGGGGCCTCAACAGCGGTTACGGTCGGCGCTCCGGTGCCTGTGGACTGCTCGGACGAGGCGGGCAACACCGCGCTGCAGTTCGCGGCGGCCGGGGGCCACGAAACGCTGGTGCGCTTCCTGCTGCGCCGCGGCGCCTCGGTCAACAGCCGTAACCACTACGGCTGGAGCGCGCTCATGCAGGCGGCCAGGTGAGGCGGCGGGGCCCGGGGGACCCGGACCAGAGTGGTGCTAGGCGCTGGCCCGGGACGCGGTCCCCGGCAGCCGGATCTCCCCGGCGGCCAGATGCCCCGGGAGGTAAAGAGTTAAGGACTCCTTAGAGTTGGAACGGTAAACTTTGAGTAGTTTTTGGTAAACTTTGAGCGCAGACGTGGAAATACTTTTGAATTAACATAAAATCAGATTCTTAGAAACTGTGGCCTTTCAGAATAGAATCTGGAGACTGCGAATGGAATCGTAGAGACTCAGAACCTTAGAGATTTAATTTATTTCTTACTGCAGCAAGGGTTTCCTCACAACCTGCCTTCCCTCCCTGGCTTGGCGTTGAGGATCCTGCGAGACCCAGGCAGAGTCCCCACCCAGGGCAGTGGTGGCAGGCCAGGCAAAGGAACGGGCTTGACCGCACAGGTTTGAGTAGCTCTGGAGCCATGGGGGAAGGTATCTGGTAGAAATGATGTTGATATCCACGTGGAGACCTGCGGATGCCTAAGAATTAGCCAGGACAGAACAAGTGGGATGTGGGAAGGGCATGAGGGGAGGCCCATGCAAAGGCTTAGGTGCACAAGCTGGTAGGACTGGTAGAATGATGTACTAGTCCTCCCTGGAGAGAAGGCACATGCCAGGTAGTGGGCGGTGGGTTGGGGGTGGCGGTGGGGGTGGGGCTGAGAAACACTAGCTGTCCTAGGGTAATAGGAAGCCATGGAAGGTTCTAGGCAGAATGCGTGATGATCAAATTTATGTTTTGGAAAAATTACTTTCCTTGAAGTGGGACAATAGAGAGTTAAGCTAGAATCAAAAAGGCTAGTTAGGTGGAGTTTGCTGCGGTCTGAGTGACAGGTGATGGTGGCATAGACCAGAATGGAGACAGTGTCAGGAGGGCACCCAGATGAGTTTGATATATTCAGGGAGTAAATCAGGGAGTGATCTTTGTGATATATTCAGGAAGTATATTCAGGGAGTTGATGACTGGCCCTTGGGGAGGGGTTAAGGGAGACAGCAAGGATCTGGCTTGGATGACTGGGCATGATGGCAGTGAATGCCCTGCGCTAGAGCACACAGAAAGCCCAGGTTTGGGAATGAGCCCGACCTTCAAGCACACTTCAAGTAAGAGTCTGTGCACCCCTCTCCACTCTGAAGAAGAAGAGCTTTCCAACGGGCACCTGGAGATGAGAGTCTGGAGGGCAAAGGAGAGTCTGGGCCTAAGGATTCAGGCAGTTACTGGCATACTGATGACAATGGGAACTTTGGGGTAGAAGGAATTAGCCAAAGTGAATGTGCAGTGTAAGAATGATACTAGTCATGGTAGATGACTGTCAATCACCCATTGTCTCAAGACAACCACCAGAAACCCAGTGAGTTTCTTAAAGCAACAGGTGTTTCTTTTGCGCAGTTTTGCCGCTCTAGTCTCATCTGGCTTCTTCGTACATCTCGTCAGCACCGTGCTCACGTCTATGTAAGGGACCTAGGTGACTCTGTTGCTGAGGGCTGGCTTGGATGTCTGCTGTGGCCATGGAGGTACCCGGACTGCTTCTCTTTACTCTTCCAGCAGGCTAGCCCAGGCTTGTTCATGGGTCAGCAGCAGGGTCCTTAGGATTGGAAGCATAGTGATCTCTTCTTATGTTTTCTCTTGGCCAAAGCAAGTCACAAGTCCAGCCCAGATTGAGAGAATAGATAGGTTTTACTGCTCGATGGGGAGGAGTTGCAAAATCACATTCCCAAGAGCCTGGATACAGGGAGGGGAATAACCGCTATAATTTTTGCAACTTCTGTGTTAGTATTTTTTGAACACCTATATGCAACCCCTGTTCCAGGAGCAACCCATTTTACCTTTACAACAGCTGTATGTGGTAGGCACTGTTACTACCAAGACACAGAGGTCAAGTAGCTTGCCCAAAACCACACAGCTATCAAGTAGAAGAGCCAGGTTTTGGACCTGTGCAATCTAACTCCAGAGCTGCCTGTTCCTAACCATTTCACCAGGGCAGAACCCAGAGAAACATAGGCACTTAAAGATTGGACAGTAAAAGGAATAATCAGGAATTAAGGAAGGATCTCAAGTGCTGGCAGCAGTGTCACTGCAGAGAGGGAGAGGAAAGAGAAGGACTGATTGACCACAGGAGGTTAACACATCAGGGGCTTGGGCGGGAGAGTTCTCTGGAGGGTGGGGGTCCAGGTGGGATTGCAGTGGTAGAAGAGTGAGTAGTTTGAATACACAGGAAGTGCACATGTCCCTTTCACTGGGCTTGGGTTTGTGGGAAGCAGGATACTTGCTTAGGATCTAAAGATGGTTTTTAGGATGGGAGAGATTTGAGCCATCTTACTGCCCGTGAGGTCAGTCATGAAGGAGTAACCGGCAGGCTTCAGGTGGGAAGGGGAGGAGAGTTCTCTAAGCTGAGTAAACATTGTTTTTCATAGAAAAATGCTTCTGAATTCCAGCATTTTTTTTTTAAGAGGTTTATAATTAAAGCAATGTTATAATAAACTTTAAGGGCATTTTACATTTAATTTTGAATAATATATTCATAAGGTTTAAACATAAGACTACACACACGTACATGTAGTGGTATAGAGTGGAGTCTGTCACCCCATCCACCATCTACTCGGCCCCACCCTTCACTTAGTTTCTTGCGTATTTGGACAGGATCATTCTTTTTTGTAGGATGTTTAGTAGCATCCTTAGTCTTTCCTCATTAGGTGCCAGTAACCCGCCCTGCAACCAAGTTGTGATAATCTCAGTGTTTCCAGACATTGCCACATGTCCCTCTGGGGGGCATGATAGCCCCCAGTTGAGAGCCATTGCTTTAACATATGAGCAAATAAGGTTGTTGATTTTTCTCTTCAGCCCCCTTCTTACACGCTACACATTATTCTGTAGCTAGCTTTTTTTCATTTAAGGTACTTTGGCAGTCTTTCCATATTCTGTAAAAACCTTCCTCATTTTTGGATAGCCTCACAGTGTTTCTTTGTATAATTTGTTTAACCAATTCCCTGTTGATGGTCATTTAGGTGGTTTCTAGTCACTTGCTGTTACAGTCATGCTGCAATGCATAATCTGATACATATGTCAGTTCACACATGAGGAAGTGGATCTGCAAGAAATTCCGTAAGTGGGGAACATACGCATTTGTAATCTTGATGTGTACTACCTAATTGCTATGCACATAGGTGTATTAGTTTTCTATGGTTGTTTTAAGAAATTGCAACTCCCTTGGTTTAAAACAACACAGATGTGCTATCTTACAGTTCTAGAGGCCAGAAGTACCAAATGGGCCTCACTTGGCTGAAATAGAGGTACTGGCAAGGCTGCATTTCTTCTGGAGATTCTAGAAGAGAAGTTTCTTGCTTTTCCAGCTTCTAGAGGCTGCGCACATTCCTTGGCTCTTGGTCACCTTCCAGCTTCAAAGCCAGCAGCAATCACATCACTTCCACTTCTGCTTCCATCCTCACATCTCCTCTCACTCAGTCTTCTGCTTTCCTCCTCCACGTACAAAGGACCTTGTGATTACTTTAGGCTCACCTGGATAATTTAGGCTGCTCTGCTCAATGCCAGCCAGCTGATTAGCAACTTTCATTCTATCTGCAACCTCAATTTCCCCTTTGCCATGTAACATACATTTATAGCTTCTGGGATCAGCGTGGGGACATCATTGGGAGCCCATTATTCTGCTTACTACCAGCAATGCATGTGAGTGCCTGTTTTTCTATAGCATGTTTCGCCAACAGTATGTTGTCAGCCCTGGATTTTTACCCATCTCATGGGTGAAAAATCATTTCTCAACCTGGCTGTGATTTGCATTTTTAAGTGGTAAATGAAATGAAGCATCTTTCCATATGTATGAGCCCTTCGTTTCTCTAAAAGGCATTGAAAACCCAAAATTCTTATCCATAATTTTCTCTTGTTCTTTTCCTTTTTTTTTTTGAGACAGAAACTTGCTCTGTCACCCAGTCTGGAGTGCAGTGGTGCAGTCTCGGCCCCCTGCAACTTCTGCCTCCTGTGTTCAAGTGATTCTCCTGCCTCAGCCACCAGCGTAGCTCGGACTACAGATATGCACCACCATGCCTGGCTAATTTTTTGTATTTTCAGTAGAGACAGGGTTTCACCATGTTTGGCCAACCTGGTCTTGAACTCCTGACCTCAAGTGATCCACCCACCTCAGTTTCCCAAAGTGTGGCAATTACAAAGTGCGTGGCCTTACCCATAATTTCCTCTTTGTGACCCAATAATATTTTATATCACTGAGATCTTTTCCAAATGTTACACAGTTCTAATCTAATTCAGTTTGTATCACCAGCTAAATTCTGTTCTGCATTATTTTCAACTATATTGTTTTCCACTGCTGTGGGATAGTCCATCCATGGAACAGTACTGCGTTTTGCTTAACCATTTCCCAGCCTTTGGATGTCTATGTGAATCTACAAACATACTTTGGAAATGCAGCCCATTTATAATGTGTGGGCTGCCTGTTCACATGGGTGTACTAAGTTCAGTGTTTTCTGCACCTGTGAGTGTGTTCGGACACCTGATTTCTTGCCTAGAGCAACCTGAGGTGATCAAAAAGCCTTTCAGGCTATCAGCCTTTCTTCCCTCTTAGTCTCATTACCTACTCTCTTAAGCTTTAAAACTCCGGGTCCATCCTCCACCTGCCACCCATCTGCCCCATGTCCAAATCTGCCCACTCTGCACCTGTGGTAGCCTGTAAACCCACACCCTTCCCTCCATCCCCTCTGCCTCAGCTCAGGCCAGACCTTTGTAGTGGTCTCCACTGCTCTCCTTTTCTCCCAGTGTACACACATACATATAGTGGTATAGAGTGAAGTCTGTCACCCTGTCCACCATCTACTCGGCCCCACCCATCACTCAGTTTCTTGCATAACCTTCCAGAGTTTGTTAATACCAGGGTTTCCTCTACCTTGGTACTGTTGATGTTTGGACAGGATCATTCTTTTTGCTCTGATCTCTCCTCTACAGAGCTTCCAGATCTTTCTGGAACGAGTGGTCATGTTCCCCCATGCAGGCTTCTCTTGCCAGAGCACTTAGCATGGCATTGGAGGCTCTCACGTTCAGACCCCTCCTGCATCCTCTCTTCTGCTTTTTTCTCGGCTTCCTAAACTCTGGCCAAGATAGTTTCATCCAGGCCTTTTCTATATATCTACATCTATATCTATATCTAATTTTTTTCTGACATTTATCGAGCATTTACTGTGTACCAAGAATACTGTCTCCGCTTTACAGATGAGGATCTGAGATTGAGATTACAAAATTTTCTCATGAGCTTGCAGCTTGTTAGAGTAGACTTGGAGAGTCTGACTTCAGACTGCTTATTATAACCACATACAGGGAAGCCCCTTTTGCCTTTCATGAAACCCCCTCTTCCTCTCAGCTTAGCTGCTTCTGTGAAGCATGTCATGGTGTCTCCTTGTTCTCTGGTTCCTCCTCAGCAGAAAGGCGTCTGTGGTAGCATCCACCACACGTGTTAATGCTGATTGGCTTCCTCAGTACCCAAACTTGGCCACGCATGAGAATAACCAGGATGCTTGTCTAAGTGCAGGTTCTTGAGTTCCTTTTCTGGAGATTATGATTCAGAAGGCCTGGGGCAGTGACGGGAGTAAGGGACAGGGACTGTGTGAGAAGAGGCTCCCAATGATTCTCTTGTATGGTAGGTTTGGGAGCCACTGATGTGTGTCTCATCTCTGCAGTCCACCGAGTGCGTGCAGAGGGGACCTAGTGAATCCACCGAGGAACTTACTGAGTGAGGTTTGTGACTGTAGCACTGACATGCCTTGGAATGTCTCAGAGACCACAGGTTCTGCAGGATAGTCTCAGCCTGGGTACTTTAAAATGTGCTGGTCCTCAGTTGATGTGACACTGACTCTATATTCAGGTAGCACCTCTGCCTGTGTTGAGTTGTGCTCCAGCTTTCTGCTGCATAGTTCATACTAAAAGATCAAGTTGAGGAGTAGTATGTCTAGTATGGAAGACTTTCGGAAGGATGTACGGTGTCTGTCGTTCAGATCAGGGTAGGCAAATGCACGGCCTGTATGCTAACACCTTCCAGCCTTGTGCTCTTCTTCCTTAGATTTGGATATGCCCCAGAATCCTGCTCAAAATCACACCCCTGGCAGCCACCACGCTGGCTCTAAGTAAGCATCTATTTATCATCCCGGCTGTCTGTTTGGATCAGGCCAGACTGTCAGACACCCTGTGCTTTGGTTTCTTGTGGGTGTTTTAGCATTAGAAATGGTTATGTTAGTGTTTTTTCCTGTTCTTAAAATAACACGTAACCTTTGGCTGGGCACGGTGGCTTATGCCTGTAATCCCAGCACTTTGGGAGGCCCAGGTGGGTGGATCACAAAGTCAAGAGATTGAGACCATTCTGGCCAACATGGTGAAACCCCGTCTCTACTAAAAATACAAAAATTAGCTGGGCATGGTGGCATGTGCCTATAGTCCCAGCTGCTTGGGAGGCTGAGGCAGGAGAATTGCTTGAACCTGGGAGGCAGAGGTTGCAGTGAGCTGAGATCACGCCACTGCACTCCAGCCTGGTGACAGAGCAAGACTCTGTTGCAAACAAACAAACAAAAAGGTAACCTTTATTGAGCACCTACTTTGTGTCAAGCAATGTGTTAAATGCTTTAAATGAATTAACTCATTCAATCTATATAAAACCTTAGGAAGGAGGTACTGTTGTCACCATTATTTCATAGATGAGAAATTGAGGCACAGAGAAGTTAAATAACTTGCCCAAGACACATAGCTACCAAGTGGCTAGTCAGATTCACACCTAGGGAGGTGGCTCCAGAGCCTGTGTTCCCAGCCATGAATTCTGTAACTGATAGTTTCCCTCTTGGTGTTGGTGGTGAGGAAGCAGCTTGCTAAATTTGCCAGAGACTTCTGTCCAAGGGATAGGATTGCATAGTATTTACCTTCCTTCCCTACCCTTCATTTCCTGCCTGCCAGTGGGGCAGAGCTAGACTCTCAGCCCGGTGCTTTTGGGAGGGGAAAATGTGTGCCAGCTCTTTAAGCACAGGTGTTAATCGCTGAAATTCATCAGTAATCACAGCACCTGTTCAGAAAGCCCCTAGCATGCCCACCTCTGGTAATTACCTATTAGAAACTTAGCATCCACAATATTATCTCAGCCTTGCTTGAATCCTTTTATATTTTCAGCATAGTTGAATGCTCTCTTTGGCTACTCACACATTCAGAAAACATTCCAAATTTCACTATTTCTGCCCTAATTCAGCCCTTTTGTTCCTCCTTAAAAATTGGTTCTACTGGAGCTGCAATTTTGAGTCCAGGTTCAACCTTTGACTCTATCATGTTCAAATTGAGAGGCTTTAGATTAATTGCTTTCCACCGTAATCTTCAGTTTCCTAATCTGTGAGTTTATCTCAGGGTTTGTTAAGATCAAATGAGATAAGAATGTGACAGCACCTTGTAATCTGCTGTTAGGGATTACGATAGATTTTATCTCCTGCTTGATAACTAAACAGTGTAATTTTTTAGAAATCTCTACTCCAGTGGAGGATATACCAGTTCTTCAGTGATTTCTACTGCTCACCTCAGGACCTTCCCCTACATGGTTATGCAGTTTATGCACTCATTTTCTCAACCCACTTATTTGACAAAATTTACTGAGCTCGGATGTGGATCAGCTACTATGGTAGGAGCTGGGGAAGCAACATGCAAGGAACCCTGCCCTGTCCTTGGAGAGCCCGCCATTGAGTAGGAGAGGCAGTGAAAGAGGGCTCAAGTGCAGCCAGAGGCGACCTCCTTAATACATACTAAAAGGCCAAGTTGCTCAGATGAGGGCCACTGACCTAGCCTGGTAAGGGGTGGTCTGGAAGCTGCACGGAGCAGGTGAGATCTAAGCTGACTCCTTCAGCAAGGGTGTGCTGAGTAATGAGGACAGGAGAGTCCTGTGGTGGGGTCAGGATGGTGAAGGTGGTGTTGGGGAGGGAGGGTAGTAACTGGTGAGTATGGCTGGAAGGTGTGATGTGGGAGCAGGAGGAAGAGAGGTTGGCAAAACAGGCAGGTCTCTGGCAATCAGAAGCTGGGGAGTGACAGATTTGGGTTCGGAGAATATCATTTGGGGTCGCATGGAGGATGGGCAGGAGGGAACTAGACTGCAGGCAAGGAGACACTAGGGTGGAGCTTTCTGCATTTGAGTTGGTTTCAGTTTGTCTTGTCCCTTTCTGCTCTGGGAGTGGCAGCCAAGAGGCCCAGCCCCTTGCTGCTTATGGAGCTGGGTCACTAGGCTTTCACTCCGTGGTTGAGGAGCCCCATACAGTTCAGGTTCATGTCCCAGGAGGTATTCAGCCCGAGCCTCGGAGAGTTCAGCTCTGGCTGCCAGCTGCCAGCCGCCACGAGGAGGGAGGTCCTGTGTTTGGATGAGGTGCAAAACTGGCTCCTGGAAAGGAAGGCTGAGCATCGAGAAGCCCAAAAAGCTTCCTCACAGATGTGAACATGACAGTGGCTTTGCGGTCTGGGAAATGTGGTGTAAACAGCCCCTCTCTTGTCATTGTTTCCTTGTTAGTCCAGGGCTGCTTCCAGCTCTGAGACACACAGCGCCGAGCCCACCAGAACAGAACTTTTCTGCCCTCTGGTGTTAAATAAGGAAGAGATTTTGCTGGGAAGAGGCATCTGTTTTCCTTCTCCTGGTATTAGGAAGTTGGTGGGTGCAGATCTCTCTCTCCAGGGGCCCAGCAGCGACTTCATTGAGAAAAGTCTGGCCCAGGCTGGCTCTTCAGCCACCTGCAGTAAACATTCCTGCCAGCAGGTGGCAGCAGGCCTCCGGACCATGGTGCCCAGCCCATCTGCTGACCACAGCCTTGCCACACCTCTTGGCATGGGATGTGTGTGTTTGGGGATGGGGAGGGTAGAAATGAATCAGACATGGGCCCTGCCTGTGGGGAAGTTAGAGCACAGGCAGACAGATTCCAGGCTATAAAGCATAATAAAATGGTCTGTCTGAAATGTCGGAGGCAGCGTGGTGTAGGGGAAAAAACAAGGGCAGCGGGATTCACAAAGACCTGTTCTGAACCCGATGCCACACATTACCAGCCAGGTAACCCTTGACACGTTGAGTAATGTAACATGGACAATTATAATAGCTAACAATCACTGACACTGATGTGATGCTTCCTGTGTCCAGGCACAGAGCCAGGTGCTTTACATATGACTCATTTAATCCCCGGCAACCCTGGAAGTAGATACAGTTATAGCCCCATTTTACAGATCAGGAAATGAAGGCACAAAGTTCTTCCTGAAGGTCATACAGCAAGTGGTGGGGAGAGCTGGATTTGAACCCAGGCAGGGCAGCTGCTCACCTTAATGGTGGTACATCTGCATCTGTGGGGCTGGCACAGTGCCTGGCATAAGAATAAGACCTCTTATTATGAGCAGCTGTCAGCACTAATAATTCATGACAGATAGAGACTCCATAAGCTGTCTCCTGATTGCTCTGCATTTAGTGTCACTCATTCTCCATCTTCCTGGCAGATTTGGGCATGTGAGTGTGGCACACCTCCTGTTGGATCATGGGGCTGATGTCAATGCCCAGAACCGGCTGGGGGCCAGTGTGCTCACTGTGGCCTCTCGAGGTGGCCACCTGGGTGTGGTGAAGCTGCTCCTGGAAGCTGGTGCCTTTGTGGACCATCACCACCCCTCGGGCGAGCAGCCGGGGTTGGGCAGCAGCAGGGATGAGCCCCTGGACATCACAGCCCTGATGGCCGCCATCCAGCATGGGCATGAGGCTGTGGTGCGTCTACTGATGGAGTGGGGCGCAGATCCCAACCGCACAGCCCGGACCGTGAACTGGAGCCCGCTGATGCTGGCTGCACTCACTGGGCGACTTGGAGTGGCCCAGCAGCTGGTGGAGAAGGGCGCCAACCCTGACCACCTCAGCGTGCTGGAGAAGACTGCCTTCGAGGTTGCACTGGACTGCAAGCACAGGGACCTTGTAGACTACCTGGACCCGCTGACCACCGTCAGACCCAAAACAGGTCAGGCTGCATGCCCCCTAGGACTTTATAGAGGACCCCGATTGTGTTTATGTGGCTTAAGCTGAGGATTGCTCTACTGGAAGGACACACAGAAATCAGAGTCCAGCCGTGCAGACTGGTGATACTGAGGAAGTGATGTGCCTAACTATGGAGGAGATTGCCTGTGACATGCAGGTTCCAGCCCAGTCTCTGGAGAGTCTGATTTAGTAATCTTGAGCAAGAGCCTGGAAGCTTCCATAGCAAGGCCATTCTCCCCAACCACATCATTCTGATGCAGGGGGTTCTGGGGTCCTTCTAGAACAAGGTTTGGCAAACTTTTTCTGTAAAAGGCCAAATAGGCTATATGGGCCATACAGTCTCTGTTAAAACTGCAGTGGTCAATTCTGCTAGAGTGAAAGCAGCCTTACATAAGTAATGAGTAAATGAGTGGGTGTGGCTATACCTGCAATATGTAAATGAGCTGGGTGTGGCTAGGTTCCAATAAATTATAATTACAGAAACAGGCAGTGGGGCATATTTGACCCATGGGCTATAGTTTGCTAGCCCTTGCTCTACAATAGTGTGCCTGACCCCCTCTGCCCTGATCATTCCCCAAACACTAATTCATGTAAAATTGGTGAAAATTAGTTTTTTAAAAAAGATCTAGCAGTGCATCCTTTTTTTTTTTGCCTTCTTGCCATCTCCCTGGCATGTAAGGAGTTGTCTGAACAATCCTTAGCAAATCTGCCACATGACATATTGCCTTTCAAAACCTCTAATGCACCATTTGCAATAAGATCTTGATGCACAGCTTTGGTACCCTCTGTATATGTAAAAGGCCTGATTTTGATGACAGGACTGACAGCCCAGGGCATAACAGCGGGTGGGCTGCAGTGTATAAGCATCTAGCAACAAGAGGTAAAGAACTGAAGAAAGTTATCTTCAGGCACATTGGCTAAAAAGACTTGGAAAGTGTTAAGTTTGTTACCATTGAAAGAATGTACAATAGCCCCATCAATCAAGAGATGCTGAAAATTTGGTAAGTGCTTATTAGAAATACACCATCCAAAAAATAAAAAATAAATATACCATTCAATCAGAACAAGTCTGAAATAAATATATTTTAACAGCCTGTAATGACAAAGAGGTGGCAGTAATGAAGAGGACATTCAAATGAAAAGCAAAAAGTAGTGAAGTTTAGAAAGACCTATCTGAAGCCAAGAGACCTCTTACTTTGTCCAGGGGGAAACTGAGGCCCAGGGAGGGAAGAAAGCTGGTCAAAAGTCATACACCCATTGGAAGTTAAGTGAGTGACTCTCAGAAGGTGAGGATTCCGTGGGAAGAGCACCTTGAGGTGACTTTGCCCACCAGCAGCTCCTGCAGGGGCTCTGGAAGCTGGTTTTTCATGTGCCTCTCCTGAGCGTTTGCTTCATCTGTGAAATGGACACAATGACAACAATTACTATGGGTGATGGTGAGCAGAAGGCTGGTTAGCCGGTTATCCTTTGACATGTGAGACACTCAGCCCAGTAACAGTGTTAGGACCTCATAAAGGCTTGCAATTAGAAATTAGGGCCCCAGTCTCCCAGGACAGGGTTTTTGTTTTGTTTTGTTTTTTTCTGATGTAAGGCCATTGCTCTCCTTTAAAGGTTTGGGTTGTTTGTGGCAGGGGTGGGGAAGGGATCTGCCCTTCCCCAGGCCCTGCCGTGCCCAGCACACCTGCTGTGCTGAATCTCCCCTCACCCTCACAGGGACCCTCTGAGGAGGGTGTTGTCCCATTTTGCAGCAGAGGGAACTCAGGCTTAGAAGTGGGCACTCCTTAACTTGCACCCACCTGTGCCTGCCGAGCTGTGCCTCGTCTGCTGTGTGTGTGTTCTCCTTCCCAGGTTTCATCAGCCTCTGCGTCTTGAATCTTCATGGAGTGCCCTCGGGCTGCTTCTGACAGGCCTCATTTTAGGATTGTCCTGGCATTGTGGGATGATGATGCCCTCATTTCCCCAAGATGCAAAGGCTCAGACACATTGGTGGATGTGGGCAAGGTCACCATCTACTTGGTTCAACCCTGGCTGTGCCCCTGCTGGCCAAGGGACCTTGGTTGCCTGAGTTCAGCAAGCTCCCATTTCCTTCTCCACAAATGGGTGGTAGGACTGACACCACCTCAGGACTGCTGTAGGGCATCACGTGAGATCCGTCCTGGCTCTGAGGGAGCATGTGAGAAGTGGCATTACTCCATACTGTTGTTGGCATATTTGATGGGAGCAAACCTTGGGTCTTCCAGCAGAATCGGGTCATGTTCCCGTCAAGCAGACCCAGTCTGAGGCTCAGTTCTCCCTCTCTGTACCAAGGTGGTCTTGGTCATGTATAATTGGCCCTGCAGGACTTCAGTGCCTTTTTTTGTAAAATAGTCATAATAAAGGCACTTTTCTTGGGAGATTTTTGTGAGGAATAGTAAGATCATGCCTATAAAATTTTTATCACAGTTCTCTAGCACAGACAACATGCAGTAAATGGAAGCTGCTGTGTTTTGATTGATCATACGTTCATTCTGATACTTTCCAAAGATGTACTGAGGCCTGCTATGTACCAAGCACCTTTCTAGGCATGTTGGATACATCAGCGAACAAATGAGACCCAAATCCCTGCCACTGAGTACTGTGGCCTCCAAAAGGGGAAGACAGGCAGTAAAGAGGAAATGAACATATTAAATATATAGTAGGATAGGTGGTAAGTGCCATGGGCTTAAAAAAAACAACAACAAGGGCAATGTAAAGAGGTTGGCTGTGGCAGAGGTGGGACAATGCCGGTTGCTGTGTGAAGTGGAGTGGTTGGGCAACCTTGAGAAGGCGAGACTGCAGCAGACATGCGGGAGCTGAGGGAATGCATTGGCCCTGGGGGATCCCTGGGAAGAGCCCCAGGTAGGGCGCAGACTGTGCTTTGATAATGACAGATGATAAAATAATAGGAGCCCCAGCTCTTACTGTGCAGTGCCCAGAAATCCAGCCCTCACCAGGGCCTTTGAGGTCCCCTGGTCTCTCCCTTGCGTTAGCAGCAGGACAGGGTACCCTAGATGCTGTAACTGTCATTGTGATACCCCTGATTCCCCGCTGAGGTTGTGGTGTGGAGGTTGGAGCAGATTTGGTTTCCTTGGGATGTGGCAGGGTCCCTGGGGCTGCTTAGATATAGATGATAACACTGATGCCCAAAGCGAGGAAGAGACTAGCCCAGAGTCACTGGGTATCAGAACACAGCTGCCCCTGCCTCCTGGGGTCAGGCTCAGCTGTCATTTAACTTGTGTCAGATGGTTGCTTAGCAGCCAACACTAAGACCAAGTAACAGTCTTTTCTTTGAAAAGGTCTTAGCATGAGAAGACGCCAGCCCATAGCAAAGTTGGTTCTTGAATACTTGAAGGAACATGACATATTTTTTAAAAATCAGGTACAGAATTGTTTCTGGATAGTATTTCACAGGCAGAATTAGATACTGTGTTCCATGATAGTGTCTTTACTTCCCATTAAGAATTTGGGATTTCTGGCTCGTGGCTCATGCCTTCAATCCCAGCAGTTTGGGAGGCCAAGGCAGGCAGATCACTTGAGGTCAGGAGTTCCAGACCAGCCTAGCCAACAGGGCGAAACCCTGTTTCTACTAAAAATACAAAAATTAGCCGGGTTTGGTGGCATGCGCCTATAATCCCAGCTACTTGGGAGGCTGAGACACGAGAATCAGTTGAATCCAGGAATTAGAGGTTGCAGTGAGCCGAGATTGCACCACTGCACTTTAGCCTGGTTGACAAAGCGAGACTCCATCTCAGAAAAATAATTCTGGGGTTCATCTTTCTGGTTGCTAGTAAAGAAAATAATTGCTCTTGGATGGGGCCTTAGCGTTATCATTTGATCCCTGCAACAGCCAGGTGAGAGGGCTCTTATCCCACATTCGTGATGAAGAGGCAGCTTACTCTAAAAATGTACTCTGAAATTCACATGCACTGACTCCACACTCAGTGCTCCTTGCCCCAGGCTGCAGCTTCCTCCCAGCTGCTCAAGTCCAGGTCAGCCCAGAGTCACAGGTGCCTTCTGGCAGCTGCTCCATCCCCCAGGATCAGTTAAAGGCTACAGAAGGCCTGCGTTCAGCCACCCAGCAAGTGGACTGGCCATGAGGATGTCTGCTTTGACAGGAGCAGGGTCCTCCCTGGCTCAAGCTTGGAGGAAGGTTTGGGAGGAGTATGTGAGGGAGGGGCTAGCATCTGGCAGCTGCAGCAAGGCTCACCTGCGTGGGTAGATGTGGGGTCTGGTCCCAGCCTAGCAGTTGGGCAGTGGCCTTTGGGCAGCTGAGTATGCAGGTTTGGGGCAGGGAACATGTTCTGATTGCTTCTTACGTGGGAGGGAAAGAAACTGAACATTGGCTCTTCTGTTGGCTGTGGCTGTGAACTTCCTTAGAGCTCAGCTGTTCAGTATCTCAGGGGTCCTCTGCTTTGGAATTGTGATTGCACATTTAGTTTTTTAGAAGAAAAAAACGTTTTTTTGAAATAATGTCTATAGAAATCCAGGGTTTTCCAAGACCCTAAGACTTTTCGGTATATCTAAGAAAGGATATGCCAGTGTTTGTTTTGCCTAAAAATGATTGCTTTATTTGCATGAGATCGGGCCGTGATCTGCTGCTCATTCGTGTTTGTTGGCAAGATCTATCTCTGAAGTGTTTTCAGATATTCTTTGGTAATAAACCTTCTAGAAGAGCTGCTGGATTTGTCCATTACACAAGTCTCCAATTAGATTGCTTTTGAGAATTAGATGCTTTTTAAAGCCAGGCTGTGTTGTTACACCCTTGTGACTTTTCTGTTTTATTAAACCTTTCCGTGGTTAACTTTAAAAATCTTTGTTTACCCAGATGAGGAGAAAAGGCGACCTGATATTTTCCATGCATTGAAAATGGGTAAGTGCTTTAGAAAATCTTTTTGGATATTTAAGAATACAGGGCTACGTTCCCCCAACCTAATATTTGTAGTCCTTTTCAAGGCCACCCAGGGTATTTGAGAGAGAAACAGGCATTCTGGTGTTTGGTGTTTGGAAGTTCAGATCCTGGAGGCCAGTATTTATTATGGAGCTCTACACATAGATTCTAGACGGCCTTCAGCCCTACGCCAGCCAAACACTGGCTGGCTATGCCCCAGTTCTTCCTGACTCTGAAATGCCTGTCTGCACACCCACCCCAGTCTCTTTGTGACAAAGAGGCATTGAGCCTAAAATTTTCTCTCTTGTTACAGCCCCTGCCTCCAGGAAGCCCTTCCTGATCCTCATCCTGCAGGAAGACCTGAGCTCTTCTTCTGTCTTCTTCTGTCTCCTTCATCTGTTCTCTGAAGACACTAACAACACTTCTGTCTTTTAGTAACATTTCTACCCATTCGTATGCTTGTCTCCATCCCACGTAGACTGAGGCATTCAAGAGTAGGGGCTATCTCCAGGCCCTCTTAGTATCCCCTATGATGCCCAGCAGCCCACTGCAGAGGCAGGGCCAGCAAGTGTTTGTTACATGAACCATGGGATAAATCAGCCTGTGGTGCCAGGCCCACAGATCACCCGGACTCTTGCTTGTGTTTGCAGGAAACTTCCAGCTGGTCAAAGAGATTGCCGATGAAGACCCCAGCCACGTGAACTTGGTCAATGGGGACGGGGCGACCCCATTGATGCTAGCGGCTGTTACAGGGCAGCTGGCACTGGTGCAGCTACTGGTGGAGAGGCATGCGGATGTTGACAAGCAGGACAGCGTGCATGGCTGGACGGCCCTCATGCAGGCCACCTACCATGGGTCAGTGCCAGCTCCACACCCTCAGCAACAAGGCCAGACAGATGCTCTGGCCTGAGATGGGGATTCCTGGTGGCTCTTCTGTCCTGAGATGCTGCATACAAACCTCAGGACTGTGACGACAGTGAGGCATGCAAAAAAAATGAAAGTGGCACAGGCCCCTTTACTTCCCACACTTCTGTGTCCGGATTTCCTGTTACCCATCAGAGAATTTCACCAGTGGCCATGAAAAACCATGCAGCAAGAACATTTTATGCAGAGAGATAAGGTTTTCTAGGTTGGTTTTGGTTGAACACAGTGACTAGTTCATTGGAGTTTTCATGCTGAGATATAGACACCTCCTTAAGTAGCCCCTGTTAAGAAGTAAACATTGGCTATTCATACCATTGTCATCTTATGATTGGTGGTGAGACGTGTCCTGCCTTTCTCCTTTTGAATAGGCTTCAGTGTTTACTGGGTGCTTATGAACGCCTTCTTATGTGATCATCCCAGCAGGGTGGGCTGTCTCCTCTGAGAGTCCTCCTTTTTGGGCTGGGCATCTTGAGGCTGCTAAGTGGTCTGACTCCCAATTAGAGATTCTTTTGTTGCCCTTTTTTAGGTGATCAGATCACTTTCCTGTGTCATCTGAAAACTGTTTTCTTATTCAATTAGTGTTGAATTTCAAGACAAAATTTTATTTCTTGGTCTGTAGGAGTCTTTCCCAATGGAGATGCCCTTATTTAGGGTGGAAGTAGTGGGGTCTCCCATGGGGTCAGTGTTTGAGGGGAAGAGCCTTTGGTTTTCTTCTTTTTTGAAAGATGGTGTCTCACTTTGTTGCCAGGCTGGAGTGTAGTGATGTGATTGTGGCTCACTGCAGCCTTGACCTCCCAGACTCAAGCAATCCTCCCATCTTTGTCTCTCAAGTAGCTGGGACTACAGGCTTGCACCACCACACCCAGCTAATTTTCAAGCAAAATTTTTTGTAGCAACAGGCCCCCCCATGTTTCCCAGGCTGTTCTCAAACTCCTGGACTCAAGTGGTCCTCCCGCCTCAGCTTCCCAAAATGTTGGGATTACAGGCATGAGCCACTGCATCCAGCCTTGGTTTTCATTTTGTTCCTGAAAAGAACACTTAGGACTTTGATTTAAATCATGTTCCCACTTGACCTACCCATATGCTAGAGAATGAGGGAGTGTGAGACTGCCCTTCCATGCCCTTCTTAGATGCTCGGAGACTGAGCTTTGTAGTTAATGTTGCTGGTTCTGTTGCCCAGGAGCAAAGCCATGCTTTTGCTTTCATTGAATGTAACTCTAGCATTTTCTTTCCAGGAATAAGGAAATTGTCAAATATCTGCTAAACCAAGGGGCTGATGTCACTCTTCGTGCGAAAAATGGATACACAGCCTTTGACCTGGTGATGCTGCTGAATGATCCCGGTGGGTAATTTCAAGAAAAGGGCTGTAAATCTACCCAGCCTTTCTCAGGCTGGGAGTCAAGACAGCCACCTCCCCTGTGACCTGTGTTTTAAGCACTTGCTTTGACTTTGGGAGAATGTCATTCTCAAGTGTCAGGAGCTTACTGCATGATCCTAGGCAAGTCCCTTCCCTCCCCACTGAAGCACTGGACTTGGACCAGGTGATCCTGGAGGCCTCTTCCAGCACCAACCTCCTAGGAGTCTCCAGAGAGGGAAGGAAAACAAGACGTGTCTGACTTTGCAGTCCACACAGACCCTACAATGGCATCTGTGCTTCACAGCCAGAAACCCTGAGTCACTCAGGTGGAAACATAAAGATCCCTTTGACAAGCAGAATGGGAGATGGACCGTTGATCCCGCCTCGGCTTAATTGTGTAGGTAGAGGCTGCAGGGTCAAGGCTCCTATCGCCATAGTTCCACCCCTCTTGGTCCTCGCCTGGTACCTGCTATGACCCTCCTCTGCTATGACAGGCCTTCTTTTGGGACCTGGGCTTCCAGTTAGCCAGCTCAAGGGACAGAGTCTCTGATCTATCATCTTTCTTATTAGCCAGCTCAAGGGAGAGGGTCTCTGATCTGTCATCTTTCTTATTACCCTAGAGTTTCAACCCAGAGACAGAGAAGCCCTGAGGTCCTTCTGACCCACTGGGCTTGAACCCTGTGCTGGGATCCTAGCTGCTAACTGTGGAGAGAGAAGACTTTTATCCCTGCAGTCACAAGTCACCTGCTGCCACTCTTAGCTAGAAGGGTAGCCAGCAGGCTTACCCTTCCTCATCACAGCACTGCCACCTTTGCCACCCCTTCCCTGCTGCAGTCCCCTGCACTTCACAGATGCACACTTGGTTCTATTTGACCCTCGAAGAGTTCTGAGAGGGAAAGCAGAGGTTCACATACTCTTGAAGAGATATGGCTGCCAAGACTAGGGAAGTGATCTGTCCCAGCCAGAGAGTTGGGGTCCTCTGCCCTAAGTCCCGTGATCCCACTCCACCTAATTGGAGACCTTCTTCAGGTGCCAGGAGTTTGTTATTCGGAATCAGCCCCCAGCCACTCTCACTGGATCTCACATGCTTTTTCTGACAAACTCATCTCTTTCAGTGTTCTTCTTTCCCCTAGCTCCACTCCCATTTATTCCCTTTCCCAATAAAACAGTCTATTCTTAGGAATTTTTTTCCTAGTGGGATTTTAAATGAAGTTTTTACATAAAACTTTGGAAGAAACCCATCTCTATTATTAAATACTTGGAGAGAGAAAAGGGGAATAGTCAGCTGGGCGTGGATGGCTCACACCTGTAATCCCACCACTTTGGGAGGCTGAGGTGGGTGGATCACTTGAGGCCAGGAGTTCTAGACCAACCTGGCCAACATGGCGAAACCCCATCTCTACTAAAAATACAAAAATTAGCCAGGAGTGGTGGCAGGCGCTGTAGCCCCAGCTACACATGAGGCTGAGGCTGAGGCAAAGAATTGCTTGATCCCAGGAGGCGGAGGTCGCAGTGAGCCAAGATCACGCCACTGCACTTCAGCCTGGGCGACAAAGCAAGACTCTGTCTCAAAAAAAGAAAGAAAAGAAATAGTCATCAAGAAAAAGCATTGTTAATAGTTTGGAGTATTCTCAATATTGTTTGCAATGCTTTTTTTTGTAACCTAGTTGAGGTAATAGTAATTTTGTAATAATATATTTAAAGCACTTACGTTGCACTAAAGGAATTTCCTTGAATCATCAGGATACCTTTCTGTGTAGGTACTCATGTCACTGACTTCTACAGAGGCACAGAGGGGCTTTGTAATTTACCTGCAGTTACACAGCCAGGGAGGGACAGAGGCAGAATCCCAACCTCTGTACTCTGGCTGTGAAGCCTGTACTTTTAAACACACTCTCTCCCCCTGCCTTCCTCATGAAGAAGGCTTCCAATTTTTCTTTCTGGTTAAGTGGGTTGAGCCCTGCTGGCTTAGCTTGCCACCTTTTGAAGATCAGACGGAGGGGCAGGTGCCTTGATTCTGGAATTACACAGACCCTGGAGCTGCAGGGCTGAATTCTAAGTCTGACAGGGGTCATCTTGAGTCTTCTCATGGCCCAACAGACATATTTGCAGGTAAAATGCTGCCTTTTGTGTCCATAGACACGGAACTTGTTCGACTGCTGGCATCTGTCTGCATGCAGGTGAATAAAGACAAAGGCCGGCCGAGCCACCAGCCACCCCTGCCCCACTCGAAGGTCCGACAGCCCTGGAGCATCCCAGTGCTGCCTGATGACAAGGGTGGGCTGAAGGTTTGCCTTTTCCTGTCTTAAAGGGACTTAGGGGGCCAGGGAGATGGGGGCTGGTGGGAAGCCTGCTGCCTCCTCTTCACTAGGCTGGTTTATGCTGGGGAGTCCCAGCAGGGGCAGCAGGTGAGCTGACGGTAAGCAATAGGAAATGAGGGGGACCAGGACAGTGGCTGCTTTGTAAGAATGTGCGTCCATGCCTGTAATCACAGCTACTCCGGAGGCTGAGACAGGAGAATTGCTTGAGCCTGGGAGGCAGTGGTTGCAGTGACCGAGATCGAGCCTCTGCACTCCAGCCTGGGTGACAAGCAGGACCTTTTCTCAACAAAGAATGTGGGTCCATATTGCTAGATCTCTTTTTCTTTTTTTTTAGAAAAAATAGAAATCCATATTTTGATATGGAATCTTAATTTATAAGTACAGGGAATTTTAAAAATTTTGCATGATGTAGTACTAAGCTGGCCGAAGCAAACGCCTCTCTTCCCAGGGAATCCGTTTGCAGCCTCTGCTTTACTATGCAGGACATTTGCTGATGATGCCATTTTGGGGTCTCCCTGCCAGTCTACAGGCCCTGCCAGCTTCCCGGAAACACCAGAAACAAGCTCTGGTGACTGATTGTAACTGCAAGCTGAGACTTACTCTTTGAATTTCTCATCCTCCACGCCCTACTTTATTTGTTTGAGATCAAACTTACTTTATGCCTGAGAAAACAAAACAGCACCTTGGCCTTGTCTGCTGACCTCTCCCCTTTGCATGGGGTGGCAGCGCCTTCTGAAGGCTGCAGACTCGGCGCTTCTTTCGTGTCCATTGCTGGCTGAGTCTCATACCTTCCTCACTGCGGTGTTCTCAGAGCTCCCTTCATTCCTGCTCTTAACTGCCGTTTCCATAGGCCAGGCCCTCACAGACGCCGTTTGTGGCTGTTCATTAACTTCTGAGTGGTCATGGGTTATAAGCGTCCCTGGGAGCTAGTGCCTGTCCTCTCTAGGTGGGGATCAGCTATCGGAGCAGCTGGCCCAGGCCCTGGTGTAGAGATCCTGATGCCTCTCACGTTATCACTGGAGTAGGAGGAGAGAGGTTATGCAATGATAGACGCCTAGGGATCTGGAGCTGCCTCCGTTTCCATCTGTCCCTGTCTCACTGTAAGACTCAAGCAAGTCAGCACTCCTATCTGGGTCTCCATTTCTCAACCTGTGCAATGAGGAGATTGATTAGGTGAGGGATGGCAAATAGGGTTCACTGCCACCTCCAGGTTATTGGAAATGACTGTCTGAGGCCCGGGATAGGAGAGATTTAGTGAGCAACCATGGCTTATTGGGAATGGGTGCTGTGGTTGATCAGGAATGTCTGTCCGGACCCCAGGAGATAGGAGGGCAGGTGCATGTGAATGTAGTCACTGTCCCTGGGCTGGGCGGGTCCTGGGCCTGCCTTCCTCGCCCTTCCTGGAGCATGACTTCTGCTCTGCGTTCCTTTGGCAGTCCTGGTGGAACCGAATGTCCAATCGGTTCCGAAAGCTCAAACTGATGCAGACGCTTCCCCGTGGGCTATCCAGCAACCAGCCTTTGCCTTTCTGTGACGAGTCTGAGCCAGCTCTGGACTCCACAATGAGGGCCGCCCCCCAGGACAAGACAAGCCACTCTGCACTCCCTGATGCAGCTCCTGTGACCAAAGACAATGGTGAGAAAAGTCTGCATGTGCAGCAAAATTTTCGGAATGGTCTGAGCCTGCGCCCTCTCCTCTTTGTCCTACCTCCTGGGCTGCCATCAGGGGTGAGATGATGTTGGAATGTGACACTGGAGCAGAGGCCGATCTGGTAGAAAAGAGACTTAGACAGGGATACAACCACCAGGAGTGTGACAGAATGAGAAGGTGCTGGCCAGGGATGAAAGGCTCAGGTTCCTGTCCCTCATTCCCTGCTGAGAGACAACAGGCCACTCAGTGCCTCTCTCTTGCCTTTGATAGTTGGTTTCCCCACCTATGAAATGTGATTGGTCTATGACACTGAAAGCATCTTGAAATAAAATGAGTTACTGGAAGGGTGTGAGTAGTGAGCTCCCCATCACTCGAGGTATTCAACAGCTTGGATAACTTTGTCAGTTTGCTGAAGGAGCTTCCCATACTGACTGGAACATAGATAAGATCCCTTCTAACAGTCAGATTCCCCATAACTGGATTAGTTCCTCTGGTACCACTGTCCGAGACAGACTATTGAGCTGAGGGCACCACTGTCTGACCCAGCACAACAGTGGTTTATGGAAAAGCTGAAAACATGCTCCAGCATATCTTTTAAGTGCCTTCCTTCTATTAAAATATTGAATACCAATTATTATTAAATATTTAAGCACCCAGGAGAGTTGGTTTACCAGGATGAAGCTTGCCCCACTCACTCATCCTTATGCTGTGGACACGTGGAGGGGTCATTTCAGGAAATTTCCATTTGTCTCTCAGGTCCTGGGAGCACAAGAGGAGAAAAGGAAGACGCATTATTGACAATCATGGTGAGCATGGGGCCTTTCTAAAAGCATTTTAGGTCTCCACCAATCATTAGTTGATTGATTTGCAAAGAGGCATGTGGGCGTTTGTCTTTGTGGTGGTCACAGATGGGGTTGGTGATCAGAATGTTTAACAATGGGCTCAGCTCTGGCACTGAGGAGTCAGAACAGATGCCAGCCCTAAACTGTGGAGGGCTGTGCTGGTGCTCAGCTGATGGGTGTCAGCCCTGGCCCTGTTCTCAGGGAGGCAGGGGATTGAGGGAATTGATCAGGAAGGAGGGAGTTGATGGGCAGCATGAGACATGGAGACTCACCATTTGGGCTGTGGAGGACCAGGGAGAGAGGAGTCAAAGAGAAGAGTATATTTTCAGCTGGGGAGGCCTCAGTTTCCTCATCGATAAACTAGAAACGTATTAGGATTAGGATCAACTGTGAGTAACAGAAAGTCCCCAAATAACAATGGTGTAAATAAGTTAGCAGCCTACTTCATTCAAGTAAATAAAGTTCAGAACTAGTATATGGTTCCTTGGAGCTAAGGACTTTCTGTCTGTTGGTCCCCCAGGTGTAGTTTCTATTTCCAAGGTCACCTCTTGGGTCAAGATGGCTGCTGGAGCTCTGGCCATCACAGCCTTATTCCAGCTAGCAGGAGAGAAGAGGGGAGAAAAGGTAGCCATGGGCACATGGCAGTGGTCTTTAAAGAAGCTTCTTGGGCCGGGTGTGGTGGCTCACATATGTAATCCCAGCACTTTGGGAGGCCGAGGTGGGTGGGTCACCTGAGGTCAGGAGTTCAAGACCAGCCTGGCCAACATGGTGAAACCCTGTCTCTACTAAAAATGCAAAAATCAGCCAGGCATGGTGGCAGGCACCTGTAATCCCAGCTACTCGGAAGGCTGAGGCAGGAGAACCACTCGAACCTGGGAGGCAGAGGTTGCAGTGAGCCAAGATCGCGCCATTGCACTCCAGCCTACACAACAGAGCAAGACTCTGTCTCAAAAAAAAAAAAGTTTCTTGGCAACTACTCTGCCTATATCACAGTGGGGAAGCTTGGAAATGATGTCTTTGTTCCAAGTGGTCCTGCGCCCATCTAAATAATCATCAGGGGTGTCATTTCTGAGATGTGAGAAGTAGATACTGGCGGCAATTTGCAGTCTCTGACTTAGGGGATGGTTATGGTTTTTAAACAAGATCACTCCCAAGAAGTTTTTAGCATAGTGCCTGGTCCAGAATAAGCTCCATGGTGTGACCTTGGATGTGTTACCTCCCCTCTCTGGGCTTTACATTCCTTTCTTCTGACATGAGAGCCTAATGGTTAAAGTTGGACCTGAGTCCCTTTAGCTCTAAGACCCTAATACTAGCCAGCAGAGGGCAGTATTGCAGAGGACCAGGGAGCAGAGGGCTCCCAGGAAAGGCATCAGCAGCATGCGTCAGGAACTGCAGAGCCCAGCGAGGGCTCCTGACCTGATCTGCCCGTGGCTCCCTGCCACCCCAGCAGGTGTAAATTGATGGCTCTAACACTGACTGTGGGGCTTGTGCTGCCTGACATTTGATCATGTTATTAAATAGCAATAATTACTTTTGGTGTGAAGACAGAAATGCTATTTTAGAAATTTTGGAAGAAGCAGTAAAACATAAGGAAAGTAAATTCACCCGTGATCACACACCCAGCTATAACCATGGTTAGCATTTTATGGTATATGTGTTTTGAGTATTTTTTGTAAGCAGTTTTTAGCATGTATAAATATGATATTATGTCATATATAATAATAGCAAATACTATCGCTCTTATTAAGTACCAGCTACTATTCACAGCACTTTGCATATATTAGCTCATTTAATATTCCTGAGGTTGGCCCTGTTAGTATCTTTCCCATATTGTGTTGAATCCAATTTATTTGCAGTTTATATGTTGTGACCATCTTTTCCGTGTCACCAAACACCATGTGGCCACGTCATATTTAATAGCTACATTAGAACATTCCAGTGTAAGAGCGTGTCTCTTTATCCAAGGCTGAACTGTCAGACTCTGGGATTTCTAGTTTTTTGTTATTTTAACAGCTCATATGAATGTCCCAATACCTTCATTTCCCCCACTTGCCTGTTTATTTGCTCAGGATGAACATCTAGAAATTGAATTCCTGGGTCAAAGGTGGTGAATGTCATTGGCTTCCAGAAAGGTAGCAACAATTCAGACTCTTACCCCAGGGAGGGAAAAGGCCCTTTTGTGATGGTGTGTTTGCTGCTGTGAGTGTGCAGCCCAACCCCGTTTGCTGGATGGGCTTGTTGTGGTCTAGAGGGAAAGAGGGGACCGCATTTGTTTCCAGACTTTAAGAAAAGCAGGACGGAGCTACAGCCTAGGAACCTGGGAGGTGTACTCGTTCCCTGACCGCTCATGCCCTATAGAGGGCACCAGTGTGCCTGCCCGCCCATGGTGGGTAGGGGTGGCCCGGCTGCCCCGCTGATGGGCATGTGCAGCCGTCAGTGTGGAGATGCCTGCCTGCTCGGCTCCCGAGGCGGGTTTAGCTATGGGGTGCCCGTTGCTGCAAAGCACCATCTGGCACAAAGTTCACTTTCTTTTCTTAATTAAGGTGAGCATGGTCTGTGAACACTTTCCTTGATGATCCAACAATCATTACTGTGTGGAGTTTATACTGACCCCCAAATCACATTTTTAAAATTTAAAATTAAATTACAATTAAATGTCAGCAGCAGGAGGCATGACTGGAGCAAGCTGGAATGTGAGGGGCTGGGGAAGAGAATGGTGCTGGTCCCCAGCCCTTTCCACTCCACCTTCCTCCTCCAGCCCCCAGGGCTGCTCCTGCTGGCCTCCTGGTCCCCTATTCCTTCCTCCTCCAGCCCATGGGGCTGCTCATACTGGTCTCCTCTCCCCTGCCCTTTCCTCCCCTGGCCCCCAGGACTGCTCATGCTGGTTTCCTTGCAGCTCTGCACCTGTGTCTTGCTCCTTTAGGTTCCAGGCCTTTCCATGTTCTGGCCCCTCACACAGTCTGGAATGCCCCTCCTGGTCCTCAGTGGGCCAGCTTGCACTCTTGTTCAGTCCTCACAAAGGTGTCCTCTCACTGCAGCAGGGGTGCCCCTCCTCTGTGCTCTCCCAGTTCCCCTGCCTCCCCCACAGCATACCAGTATCACCTGCTTCTCCTTGGCGCCCTGTCCCCTCTGCCCCGTTCTGATCTTGCTGCTGTGAGGACAGATCCAGGAGAATCCTGGAGTTGGTGCAGAGCAGACATGGATGTTGCATGGAGGAGAGCTTCAGATGCCAATTAGCTCCCGGCTTGGGTGGAGGGGTGGATGGTGGTACCATGCCCTGAGAAGCAGGAAAAACCTGGAGTCTTTCCCACAGAGTTGGGAGCCCACCTGGGCTAGCCTAACCCTCAGCCTGTCTTTTTCAGCTTCGAAACGGAGCTCCCCTCACCAGACTCCCGAGTGACAAGCTGAAAGCTGTCATCCCGCCGTTCCTTCCCCCTTCCAGTTTTGAACTGTGGAGCTCTGATCGGTCCCGGACGCGTCACAATGGGAAGGCAGACCCCACGAAGACTGTGCTGCCCCAGAGAGCCAGCAGGGGCCACCCCATGGGCAGTGTGAGCACAGATACCGTGAGTTGTCTTCTGACACACTTTTATACATCACTCACCGTTCACTGAGATCATGGTGTGTACCAGGCTGAGGGACCTCAAACTGATGAATCCAGAGGGGTTATAACTTCTCTTTCTTTTCAATGGATGATATCCTTTTGTCTAATGAAGCCCTACAGAGCAACTCAATATGGAAAATAGGTTAAAATATTGAGGTAGTGGGGAGCATCTGTCCCCTCACTAGAACCCTAGAGCTCCGAGGAGCACAGTTTGAAGACCTGATCTATCTAATTCAAACTTCCTTTTAGTAGATGAGGAAACTGGGACCCAGAGAATGGGAGTAATAGCTGAAGATCACCAGCCAAGTGTGGGTGAACCTAGGCAGAAACCAGATCCTTGGCTGATAATCAAGTCCCGTGCTACATTACTGCTCACGTCCATGATCAGGATCAAACACTCAGAGGCCACTGTGTGTGCTACTGGTGTTTTCTTGTGCCCAAGAATGTGACTTCTATCCTTTTGCCTGTAGTGATTTTTAACTTGGGTTGTTCTTGGTCTGTTTCTGAAATTGACAGCGCCATCAGTGTGGGAGATATCTCTGTGTAGCCTGTACCTAGACGGTAGAAGCAGCAAATGGGCAGGACAGAGGGATTCAGGACTGACCCTGTTGCTGTGGGCTGGGTGATTGGAGAAACTTGTGGCCTCCATCTCTATAAGATGGGGCTGACCCTAGCACTCATTGCTGCTTCCTTGGGCTATGGTAGTGTCAGATCTCCAGCAGGAGACCAAGTGCCTGTCGCCTGGAGATGCTCTCAAAACAGGCAGGACAGGTTTGCGTTTAGTCCACTATTCTCTGTCAGGTAGGAACATGGGGAGTTGTAGAACCCATCCCTGAGATTTCTATGGCTGCGTTTCCTTGTTAACCCTAGAAGGACAGAACATCAACCTGACCTGCTTCGCTCGCTCAGTGGACATTCACTGAATCCCACCGCCATGTAGCCCGGTCATCCCCATTCTGCCCTAGAAGAGGCAGTGGTCTGGGTGGCAAAGACACAGGCACAGCACACGAGGCAGGGAGCGGTGTTAGGGGTGTGGGAGCACCAGAGAGGTGACTGTGTGTGATAGGGCACTCAGGAGACCTCCAGGAAGAGGAGACAGCTGAGCTGGAATCTGCAGGCTGTGGAAGAGTTTTCTCCCCAGTGGAGTGCAGGCAGCAGCATCCCAGGTAAAGGGAGAGAGAACAGGAGCTATGGCCTTTGCAAGTGTGTTCTGTTTCACTTAGCAGATGGGTCTCATTCTGGGCCCTGGGGGTCTGTCACTGTCCCTCTCTTAGGAGTGCCCACAGTGGGGGACTGAAAAGAGGATCTTCGTTTTGGTGTCCTATGGCAGCTATAACAAAGTCACCACAAACTGTGTAGCTTAAAACAACAGAAATGTATTCTCTCACAGTCCTGGGGCAGAAAGCCTGAAATCAAGGTGTCAGCAGGGCCCCACTCCCTCCAGAGGCTTCAGGGGGATCTGTTCTTTCCTCTGACAGCTTCTCTTGGCTCTCGGCTTCGCTTGGCTTGTGGCTGCGTCACTCCAGTCTCAGGTCACATTGCTTCCTCGTTTGTCAGAATTCTCTCTGCCTTCTGTCTTACGAAGATACATGCGATTGCATTTAGGGCCCACCTGGATAATCCAGGATAAGCTCCTCCTCTCAAAATCCTTGACTTGAGCACATCTTAGGCAAGCACACATAAGCTCATCTTCACTCATACCTCATAAGGTAATAGTCAAAGGTTCTGGGAATTAGGACACTGTGTATTTTTTGGGGGGCTGCAGTTCAGCCCACTCCAACCTTTAGTCATGTTTACTGAGTACCTTCTTTGTGTCGAGGCCAGAGCTGGGTGCCAGGCATGCAGCAGAGAACCAAGTCCCCATGGAGCTGACAGTCCACTGGGGCATCAGACACACAAGGCGACTGTAGTAAACATACGCTCACAAGCCATGGTTAAGAGTTGTGGTATAAGCAAAGAGGATGCTTGAAGGGAGCACAGATGTATGTTGGGGAGCCTGCCCTGCACGGGAGCCCACCCTAGACCAGAGCCCACATGACACCGCATAGGCAGTAAAGACCTCCGAGACCTGAGACCCAAGAACAGGGAGAAGCCACTGTGGGAGGAGTGGGATGAGGATGGGCTGCTGGGTCCATGTAGAACAGGCTGTGTGGGCAAAGGGCCCGAGGCGCAAAATGGATTAGCATTTTCAGGAAACCCAAAGGAGTTTGGTGTGCCTGGAGCAGAGCAAGCGAAGTAGAAGGTGGAGTGAGGTCAGGGTGGAGGAGACGTGACCGGGGCACTGGCACCAGGGACAGTGGGGCCAGGGAAGGCGCCATGAAAGATGTAGGGAGTAGAAGACCCATTTCAGTCTGCGGGACAAGCAGGAGCAGCATCACAGAAGCAGGCTTGGAGTCGGGAGCTGGTCACTGTGCCAGGCTGTGCTGAAGGGCTGGATTTTGTCCTGGATGTGCTGAGGCCTCCATGTGTTGTCAGTGAATGACATGGCAGGTTTTTTCCTGGAAGGCCTTGGAGTTGAATGAGACTGAAAGCAAAATGGCCCATGGGAAAGGATGTGACATGGGCTTACTGAGCTGATGGGCAGGTTGTCAGCACATAGAAGCAAGCTCCATCCCTCAGGGACTCCCCAGCTGGGTCCCAGCAGTGCCATGCTAGGCACAGCAAGCGTTGGTGGGGCGTACACCAGCTGAGTGCAAGGACCCCCTCACCATGGTCCTGCATGGCTGGAGGGAGGTGCACAACGCGCTTTGGTGGGGCGTGTGTGTACCAGCTGAGCACCGGTGCCCCCACACTGTGGTCCTCCATGGCTGGAGGAAGGAGCAGCCTCCCTAAGTGCTGTGCCACCTTATTCTTGCAGACACCTGTCAGGCCTGTTAAATTTCCAAGCCTCTCCAGAAGTCCAGCCTCTCCCACCAATTCTGGAAACTTCAACCACTCGCCTCATTCATCTGGAGGCTCCAGTGGGGTAGGAAGTATGAGCCGACACGCTGGGGAACTGCTTAACCGCTCTGGTGAGTAGCTGGGCAGGGCCATTCAGGGAGGTGGGATGATCCCTTGGAACTGAGGGTGTGAGCTGTCCGGATATTCAGGCTGTAGAAAGTCCCAGAAATGACTGCACAGGGGGGACTTTCTCCTTGGTGTGGCTAAGAGATTTTTCATTGAATTCACGATTCAGAGCTCTATATATTTTCTTGGGGATGTGGGTGAGCGGAGATGGAGGGATTGTAAAATTTTGCAAGAAATTAAGAGAAATGCGTGGCGTTTTCATGGTATTTAAAATCTATGAAGGTTAGACCTTGGAGAACTTCTCATTCTGCCCCTTCATTGAACAGATGAGGAAACTGAAGCTCACAGTGGGCAAGAGATTTACTTAGGGTCACACAGCAAGTTGGTGGCAATTAGGTCTCAAAGCAGAGTGCCCCATAGTTCTTACAGGCTCGTGGCATACTTTCTAGTCCTCCCTAAGGTTATCCAGGATTAACAAAAACCAGCTTTATTAGTTTTTTATTAGCCACTACATTAGTCTGTCCTCATGCTGCTAATAAAGACATACCCGAGACTGGATAATTTATAAAGAAAAAGAGGCTTAATGGACTCATAGTTCCGCATGGCTGGGGAGACCTCACAATCACGGCAGAAGCTGAAAGGCACATCTTACATGACGGCAGGCAAGAGAGAGCAGAGCTTGTGCAGGGAAACTCCCCATTATAAAACCATCAGATCTCATGAGACTTATTCACTGTCAAGGGAACAGCATAGGAGAGATGCACCCCTCTGATTCAGTTACCTCCGGCCAGTCCCTCCCATGACACGTGGGAATTGTAGGAGATACAATTCAATAAGAGATTTGGGTGGGGACACAGCCAAACCATATCAGCCACCCTGCTTCTAGTGGAAAAAGCTTTAAGACCAGATGAGCCAAGAAACAAAACAAGGTATAATCTCACCCACTACAGATCACCAACATTTTGGTGTATATGTATATATATACCAAAGATGTATATATATCTTTGCAAAGTGTTTTCATATAGATTATGTATATTTATAAAAAGACATAGTACAGTGAGGCATGGTGGCTCATGCCTGTAATCCCAGCACTTTGGGAGGCCAAGGCGGACAGATCATTTGAGGTCACGTGTTCAAGATCAGCCTGACCAACATGGTGAAACCCTGTCTCTACTAAAAAATACAAAATGACCTTAGCCCAGGTACAGCTGGGTGTTGTGGTGCATGCCTGTATTTTCAGCTACTCGGGAGGCTGAGGCAGGAGAATTGCTGGAACCCAGGAGGCAGAGGTTGTAGTGAGCTGAGACTGTGCCACTGCACTCCAGGCTGGGTGACAAAACGAGACAATGTCTCAAAAAAAAAAATTTTATGGAGCACTTAATATATGTCAAGTAGCATGCCAAGCCCTTTAAATGAATTATCTCCTTCAGTCCCCTAGCAGCCAATGAAGTTACCACCTCTCTTTTACAGATGAGGGACCTGGGCTAAGGTCAGTTAGATAACTTGCCTGGGTCACATAGCTATTAGTTGGCAGAGCCAGGATCCAAACCCAGGCAGTCTGACTTCAGAGCATGTTCTTGGAACCACGTGTGTTACTAAACTATAAACTGCTCTGTAACTTGCTTTTTTCCTTTTCCTCACATTGCTAGATTGTGAGCACCTTTTTATGTTGGTACACATATATCTACAGCTTGTTTAATAAATCTTGTTTAATCCAACAGTGTTCCATTCGTATGAGGCATCAAGTGCATTTAACTAATTTCCTGTATTAAAAACTGAGGCTGTTCCTAGATTTTTGCTTTTGTAGGTAATACCTCCCTATGTAATACCTTTATGCCTCCATATTTGCCTACATGTTCAGTGATTTCTGTAATTTAAATTTGCTGGAATCAGGGTGGCTGAGTTTGTGAGTATGCCTGTTTTTGAGGCTTTTGATATGTTTTGCCCTCCAGAATGGCTCTGTTTAAACACGTGAAATATTTACAGCAGTGCCTGGCACATAGTAAATCCTTTATAAATATTAGTCATTAGTGTCCTCCCTTGAGCACCCCCAGCCCTGGGTATTATCACTTTCTTCCTTCCTTTCTTTCTTTTTTTCTTCTTTTGAGACAGAGTCTAGCTCTGTCGCCAGCGTGGCGCAATCTCGACTCACTGCAAGCTCCATCTCTCTGGTTCAAGTGATTCTCCTGCCTCAGCCTCCCGAGTAGCTGAGCTTACAGGTGCCCGCCACCACTCCCAGCTAATTTTTTGTATTTTTAGTAAAGATGGGATTTTACCATGTTGCCCAGGCTGGTCTCGATCTCTTGACCTCGTGATCTGCCCGCCTCAGCTTTCCAAAATGCTGGGATTACAGGCGTGAGCCACCATGCCCAGCCCTTTTCTTTTATAACAGTTCAAGGTTACCAGTAGATTTGGGGCAGCAGGCTGAGGGAGAATGGCAGTCAGGGTTCAGTCAGAAAGCAAACCACTCTGAGCATTATGGAGTTTGGAATTTATTGACTCAGTCGTAGTAGGAGTAGGCGGGCACATAAAGGGAGTCAGTCACAGGGCAAGGGATGAGTCATTCTCCAGCCCTCCTGAAGCCCTGATGTGGCTGGACAAGACAGCCTGTGCAGCTGCTGGCTGGCACTGCTGAGGGGCTGTTGAGGGCATCTGGTGCATGATGTTGCATCTGTGCCTGGCTGGGGCCGGCACGAGCTGGCCGTGGCACGGCAAAAGCGAGGATGGACTGGGTCTTGCCCACACTGTTGCTTCCCACCTCTTACCATCACACCTTCACAGCACAGGGCCTGCTGCCTAAATGTCCACCTCCCGGTTCTCAGGCAGAGTTCTGTGGTCAGCCCTGTCCTGGAGCCACGTGGGGAAGGAAGTGTGGGAGACTGGCTCCAACCCAGTCATCACGCAACAGTCCATGACCCTTGTGTTGGAATAAGCCCTGTGTGCCCGTGTTCACTCCTGTTTGTGTTTCCTCAGGTGGCAGTATAGACAACGTCTTGTCCCAGATCGCTGCCCAGAGGAAGAAAGCAGCTGGATTATCGGAGCAGAAACCCAGCCATCGGTCAGCCCCTGTGGGGCCAGCACTGGGGTCCAGCCTGTCTGAGCTTCCAGCCTCCCCTGCAGGTGGCAGCATTCCCGTTGGCAAGGTGCTTGTTCTGCGCGGCCTCCTCCTGTTAACTCAGATTCTGTCCTAGCATGGCCCACTTGCCAGGGAACATTGGCAGTGCCTTAGTCATGGGACAGATCATGGTCCCTTCCAGCCAGCCAGCCACTCCTGGGCTTCATGAGAAGGGCCGAATTGGTCCCCTGCACCAGGCGTTTACCTCCCCTCACATCTCCAGGTTTGGGGAGCACTGGGCTGCTGGGCAGAGGCAGGGTACACACTCGTTTCCTGCAGCCCCACAGGTCACCCAGCCTCACGCTGCACACATTTGTTCATTGATGACAGTGAATGGTTTAAGAACATGTATTCAGGGGCAACCTGCCTGGGTTCAGCTCTCAGCCCCATACCTCACTCAGCATTTAGAACAGGGCCAGGCAGAGAGTAAGCCCATGTCTGTGTTGGCTGTTCCTGTTGACAGCATTCTTAGTGGCCTTTGTTGTCCTTCAACCTTATTCATCCACTATGTATATCCTGGGAGCATCAGCTCTGCCTGGCACAGCTAACAGTGAGGATCCAACTGTGAACCGGGAAATTTGGCAACCACTCTAAGGACACAGGCAGTCACAGCTCAGTGTGATAGGGGTTGTTGTGTAGCAGGAACGATGCTGTGGGGGCACAGGTGGGGGGCCCTACCCAGGTTTGAGGGCATCAGGGCCATCTGGATGGAGATCTGAAGGATGAGGATGGAGCCAGATGAAAGGGATATGGGTGGGCCAGGGGTGTTTGTGTGACTGTTGTGGGGTGAAGGGACAACTTGTGTAGCACTCCAGAAGTGACAGCATGGCCGAAGGGAGGAGCTGAAGGAAGGACATGAGCAGGACAGAGCCAGGACCTTGCCTCCCTGCTTCTGGGCACTGTGCTTCCATTAATGCAACCAGAGAACAGTTACCACATTGTTAGAGTCCACAGAGTATGCAGTGGACGAGAAACCTAGATGCCTTCCTGGAGCAAGAAGGTTTTTAGTGTCTTCAGACTCCGCCTCTGCCTCCTGAACCTCTTTGCCTTGGTTGATTTCTGGAGTCAGCCCTCAGAGTGCGGGTTACTGGTCATGAGTATGAACTGGCTCCTCCACCGAGTGCTCCCCAGTAGTGCAGCGTAGCCCTTTCCTCCTCTGAGGGGACACTGTGTCTGGGCACAGCGCCCTTTTCATAGTTCTCAGATGTCTTAAGCTTCCTTCCTGAGAAACTCTGAACACGGAAAGCCTCATCCATAGACCTTTGCACACCGAAGAAGCACCTCCGGAAATTTATGCTCCCAGGATGTACATGTACTGTATGAGAAATAGTCATTTTCTGCCCAACCACTGTTGGTTACACAAATCTTTTTGTTATTCAAGATCCTTTATGCAATAAGACCTACATAATTAGATTCTCTTTACAGTATAGCTCCAAAAAGTTTCTTTCTCTCTGTACATCAGCTTATTTTCCATTTTTTATCTTCAAAATAATTTGTGTAATAGATCCTATATGATTAAGTTCCTTTTATAATTCAGCTGTGGGGAAAAAGTCTCTACTGATACTTTGATATATTTTATCAGATAGTAAGAATTTTTATAACTATTGTATTTCTCTTTTTGCCTTTGCTGCTAGGAAACTTGACTACTCATGAGGTCTAGTGTTTTGAGGCTTTGATACAGTTTTTATTTGTTATCTAAACTATTCTGATGGTCTTATTGGATGTGTTAGATACTAGCTTCCTTTAATTATTGTTGGAAATAAGCAAGCATTTCCAAGTTATAAATTATATTACTACTCCCTATTATATTAACTATTACTTTAGTGTATTGATCATACATAATCTATATATAACTATATTCTGATGAAAGGAGATTGTATCAAAAGATGCATTCAAAAAGCAGTAAACTGGGGAAACCATGCATTTCAACCATCACCTGACATTTGTAACATAATAGTATGCTATGATCTTGGAGAGCTGTCCAAAAATTCAGGTTTCTGGGCTCCACCTCAGCATGCCTGAATGAGACCCTCAGGGGAGGGTCTGGAGAGTGTTTTTCCTGCAGAGAGTCTGTTGCAGCCATCCTAGTCCAGGGCTCATAGAAACCATAGCCTTAAATCAAAGGATATAGGAGTGGGCTTTCTATCCCATCAGCAAAATAGAGACATAAAGTGCTTCTTCAAAGACTCCCTTAGTAAAAATTAGAAATTAGTATTCAAAATATGAGCCTCCTGAATCTGGTTTTTGTACTTTGCTTAAAGCAACTCACTGTAATGGTGGAATATCCACAAAGCATGGCATCTAGCAGGGCGATATGAGCTCCAGGAGACACGGCATAGGTGGTGTCAGAGTGTGTACCAATACTTCCCAGATCGCTGGAGGCCAAAAGGCCTGCTAGATATATCAGCTTTCTATTCCTACCCTAAAACTCAGTCATTTCAAACAAAAACTTTTACTTAGCTGCCTGTGTGTCTGTGGGTCAGCAGTTTAGTCTGGACATGGCTGGGCAGTTCTCTGGTCTGCAGGGATCACTCACCTGTCTGGCTGGTGGCGAGGTGGCCAGGACAACTGAGTCACATGTGTCTACAGTGAGCTTGGACATGTTCTCATGGGACTGGCTGAAGGCATGGGCTGAAAACCAATCAGGTTGTTTAAGCAAGTCGGTATGCCGAGCATGGCAGGAGAGCACACAGAACTACATGCAGAGAGAGGGGTAGAGGTGATGGTCATTAACACAATCAGCCTACCACTCAAGGGATATTGAGAACAATTCATATGTTTTGCAGAATCCCAAATAATCTTATATTTACCCACTTCTTCCCCAGTATGCTGCCCATATGGTCTAGAGTATCATGTTTCTTTGCTTTTGGCTGGGATAGATCTATGGGGGATATACTAATTATCTCCTGCTTAATCAGAAATTCTGTTTCAGATTGTCTTCATGGAAAGAACAGAGGAAAGAGAGAGGAATTTATTAGTAGTATAGCCAGCTTTTTGGCAAAATCTTTCAAAACCTATGGGAGGGTCTTTTTCTACTCAGGGATATAATCAGCTAGAAGGAGCATTAAAGGCTTAGTAGGAGGAAAGATAAATCCATTTATGCTTAGAAATCTTAGTCTCTACTCTACTATACAAGATATCCAATTTTTAGCAAAATTTACAAGACATACAAAAAGACAAGAAAAACCACTATCCCTAGAAATGAAGCAATCATGATAATCAGGTCTGACAAAGGTGTCAGAATATTTGACAGGGAATTTTAAATAGCTATGATTAATATGTTAAAGGTGCAAATAGAAAGTATAAACAGCATGCAAGATCATATGGGTAACTATTTTAGTAGAGAGATGGAAACTATAAGAAAGGATCTAATATAAATGTTAGAAATAAAAAACACAGTTATGGAGTTGAGAAATACCTTTGGCAGGCACCTCAGTAGACTTGATGCAGCCAAGAAAAGAATCAGTGAACTGAAGTTAGGTCAGTAGAATTTACCCCAACTGAAACACAAAAGAAGAAAGAAACAAATACAAAACACAGTGCACAAAAATCATGGCATGATATCAAATGCCATAGCATACAGATGATTGGAATCCCTAGAGGAAGAGAGAGAGGTGGGGCAGAAGGAACAGGTAAAGAAATGATGGCTAAAAAATGAAAAGAAATAATGGTTGAGGATTTCCTCAAATTGATGACAGATGCCAAACCACAGATCCAGGAAGTTCACAGAACACACTAAACAGGGTAAATACCAAAAAGAATATACCTATCTGTATTATGTTTAAACTACTGAAAACAAGCCAAAGAGAAAATCTTGAAGGCAGCCTTTTCTTGAAGGAAATTACATAGAGAAACAAAAATTAGAGTTACAGCAAACTTCTAGTCAGAAACCATGCAAATCAAAGACAGTGTTGTGACATCTTTAAAGTACTGAAAGAAAAAACTAGAGTCATGTTGGCTCATAAAATGAGTTGGGAAGTATTATCTCCCCTTCTAGCTTTCTGGAAGATACTGTGTGGAATTCTTGTTACCTTTTCCTTAGATGTTTGATAAAATTTGCCAGGGAAACCATCTGGGCCTGCCATTTTCTCTTTTGGAAGGTTTTAACTTACAGAATGAATTTCATTAATAGATATAGGACTATTCAAGGTGCTCTTTTTCTACTTGAGTGAGTTTTTATACTTCGTATTTTTCAAGGAATTGTTCCCTTTCGTCTAAGTTGTTGAATTTATGGATATAGAGTTTGTAAAAGTATGTATCTGTTACCATTTTATTACATAGGATCAGTAGGAATGTCTCCGTTTTCATTCCTGATATTGGCAATTTGTGACGTTTCTCTTTTTTTCTTGACAGTTTGACTACAAGTTTATCAATTTTATTGGTGTTTTTCAAAGAACCAACTTTGGTTTTAGTGATTTTTTCTATTGTTTTTCTGTTTTCAATTTCATTGATTTCCACTCTTTAATTTCTTTCCCTCTACTTGCTTTCAGTTTTATCTTCTTTCTCTAGTTTTTCATGGTGGAAGCTTAGGTTACTGCTTAAAGATCTTTCTTTTTTTCTGATACAAATATTTAATGCTATAAATTTACTTCTATGTGATGCTTTTTCTACATCCCACAAATTTTGATATATTTTAATTTTAATTCAGTTTAAAATATTTTCCCCTTGAGATTTCCTCTTTGGCCCATGGATTGCTTAGAAATGTATTGTTTATTTTTCAAGTATTTGTTAGTTTTCCAGAAATATTTCTGTTGTTGGGGATTTTAGTTTAATTTAATTATAGTTATGTTTCTAGTTCTATCCTTTAAACGTTTCGAGGTGAATTTCGTACCCTAGAATGTGATCTATTTTGGTGAATCTCTCATAAGCAATTGGAAAGAACATTCATTCTGTTGTTGTGGTTGGGGGAGAGGAGTTCTATAAACGTCCGTAAATGTCTAATTAAGTCTACTTGGTTGATAGCGTTGTTCATGTCTTACATGTTCTTACTGATTTTCTATCTACTTGTTGTATTAATTACTGAAAGTG